AAATACAAAATCCTCTTTGTTTCAACTACAACTAATTATTCCCGAATACAGAAAGCCATAAATTCTGAGTTCTTAGCTTTTCATGCGCTAATTCGGTTAAATATAAATGAACATGACGAAGCCCTCTATCTATTGTCAACGCATTTACCAACTGGCAAAATATTGCAAAAGCCCATAGCCGCAGTATGTCCCTGATTTTAATCGCCATTTGGTGATGCAAATTTGCAGGTTACAATTTACGAAATCAGATGCCGGTTGGCGCAGTCGATGCATATCAGATAATTTTCCCTTCGAAGCGAACTCCGCTTCCGAACGATAATTTTGGAGGCAGTGCAAGCGGACGAATAAGGGATATTGATGATGCGGATGAACACCCACTGATCGTGCGACGGACTCAACTCACGCAGTTGAATAGGCTTCTTAAGAAACCTGTTTTCAACTTTGCTAACTTGTTCCGGAGATATTGATTGCACAGCTGATACTCTTAGAGCCTGAGATGTTCAAAGACAGAGGCCGAACCACAACTACAGAAACACGCAATCCTCGAATTTGGTTCAAAAATATCCCTCTTTGATGCAGTGACAACTATGCAAGTTTTCGGAGAGATTGGCACCCGACAGTAAACTATTGTTATGGCTTTGTGTAAAATGGACAATGAAATATTCATTAATATATTATAGAAAGTACTGAGTGACAAGTGGCTACTCGTGTAAACATAGTTTTCATCAAAAATGTAGCAGATTTGGCTGCCAAACTGGGTTTATTTGGCAGTGTTACTATTTTTGACTGACTAAAATAGAATAAAAATACCAAAAATGCCTAGGCTGCCCGTGCAGTTGATATAGACTTCCGGTGTTAGTGATTTTACTAGGATGTCGAGTTAGTACCATTGCCTGTTCGGTGTATGTGCACCGCATCTTCATAAGCCTACTCAAATGGCTATTTACTTCCTGGCGAGTAACCCCTCCCTAATAAGTGACGCGCACCTGCTGTCATCAAGAGAACAACATGCCTCGTTTAACGGACTTTACTTTCTGGGGTGGTCACAGTGATGTTCTGTGTTCTAAACTATATGCAAATCCAAAAAATACACCGATAAGTCTGGTAGGTGTACAGACGCTAATTTAGCAAGAAAAATAAATATACCGGGAAGTAATTAAATCACAGCGATCAGGCGCTTTTTGTTCTGAGAAGATAACTATATCCAGACGCAAACTTATCAATAGGAAAAGTTCTGCTGCTCCACGATAATTTCTTATATTCCGTCGATGTGTTATGCCAAGACAATTTAACTCCGTGAAAATTGTCAAAGTCAGCCAAATTGCATGAAATAATGACAGTTTTGTGCGAGCTCGATTTTCTGTTAAGTTGTACAGGCGGTGCCTGTATAGTTTAATAAATCATAATTTTGGACAGTTGGTTTGTTACTACAAAACTTTTCAACACATGACTCGGGAACTGAATCTTCACTAAGCACCGAGCCTTCGCGAAAACTCCTGGTTTACAGTTGCAGCCAGCTGAGTGCGAAAACACTTTACTATTGTTTTTATCATTATTATTATTGTTATTATTACTATCATTATTATCCAAGAAAAGACCAAGAAAT